CATGCAGCTGCTGGTAAACATCTTTAAAAATAAAGGGCCTGCTCTCTGAAGCTTCCCCCTTCTTACCCGACGGAGCAGCTATTCTGATTGTGATACGGAAACTTCACGCTGAGACTCACAGAGCAACCAAACAGGAGAGCCTGGGTTGCCTGACAATGTGGAGCCACTCTCACCAGTCCCAGTCCACCTACAGAGCTTTTAGTGGAGATAGAAATAAAATTTTACCTCAGTTAAACTCATTTTTATTTCAAGTTTTCGGTTACTTGCAGACGAATATAGCTAAATGGTGTAGCTATGAAGGAAAAATGAAGGGTTCGGTGAGAGAGTACAGAGGAAATGTCCATTTCAGCCAGGGGAGGGGCTTCAGGGACAGCTCCTCTGAGGAGCACCAGGTTAAGCTGTGACGTGGAGGCTGACCAGGGGCGCACCAAGAAGAGGAGGCACACCGTTCAGATGGGTGAAGTCAAAGATGCACTATGACAACATTCAGCCTGAATCGCAACAGGGACAAGCAATCAACCTTGGACGCTAAGAGGGCCTCGACAAGGAACTAGAATTAAAGCAGAACCCTAAATCAGCTAAGTGTTTTGGCTCCAATATCACACTATCATTTCTGACAAGAAAAAGACCACAGATGCCTGTTAAAAATAAGACAGGGGTGGGGGTACAGAATGAGAATGAACCCTGCTAAAGTAATCCTGGCTTCCACTCCTCAGCAGTGCTAGCGTTTAAACTGCTGGAGTCTCTGACTAGACCTGGCTCAGGTATCAGGAGGAGAATTCCATGAGACTTTTAAATGCTAACTATCCCAGAATAGATAAACCTTGATGCTAAATATGTTTTAAACAACATTTAATTGCTTATTCCTGATTCTAAAAGGGAAATGTATTTATTGTGAAGAATTTAGGAAATATACATAAGAGTAAAGAATAAATAAACCACCTGTAAACTCACCACCTTCCAATATTTTATACTGACATTGTCTCTATACATATTTACACAAAAAAATGGGATTGTAATCCACACAAAGCTGTACATGCCTTCTCTTTCTTTTTAATAGATTCAAGTCTTTATTATTCTTTTAAACATTGTGCCCATTTTTAAAAAAGTTTTTTTATTTATTTATTTGAAAGACAGAGTGACAGAGAAAGCTAGAGAGAGAGAGGTCTTCTATCTGCTGGTTCACTCCCCAGTGGCTGCAACAGCCGGAGCTGAGCTGATCCGAAGCCAGGAGCTTCTTTCATATCTCCCACACAGGTGCAGGGGCCCAAGCACTTGGGTCATCGTCTACTGCTTTCCCAGGCCATAGCAGAGAGCTGGATCGGAAGTGGAGCAGCTGAGACTTGAATCAGAGCCCACATGGGATGCTGGTGCCACAGGCGGTGGCTTTACTGGCTGCACCACAGCGCTGGCCCCAGTGCCTTTTCGGTTACTTTGGCACAAGCACATTCCCACATTGATAAAATATTTTTCAAACCATGATGTTAATGGCTACATAACATATAATGTACTTATCCAATCAAATCTGGAAATTTCCTGAGTTAAAACTGTCACCCACAACTGAAACGCTGTAGATCATGAAGCTGACTTCAAAATCTGCCAGGCAGTGTTCTACTCAAACCTTGAGAGCTTTTTTTTTTAATAAACTAATCTTTTAACTCCATTCTTCCATTTTATTTTTTAAGAGGCAAAGAGAGTGGCTAGCACTGTGGCATAGCACAATAGGTTAAGCTACCGCCTGCAATGCCGGCATCCCATATAGGCACTGATTCTAGTCTGGACTGCTCCATTTTCTTTCTTTCTTTCTTTTTTTTTTTTTTTGTATTTGATAGGTAGAGTTATAGACAGTGAGTGAGTGAGAGAGAGAGAGAGAGAGAGAAAGGTCTTCCTTCCGTTAGTTCACTCTCCAAATGGCCGCCACAGCCGGAGCTACGTCAATCCGAAGCCAGGAGCCAGGTACTTCCTCCTGGTCTCCCATGTGGTGCAGGGCCCAAGCACTTGGGCCATCCTCCACTGCCTTCCCAAGCCACAGCAGGGAGCTGGACTGGAAGAGGAGCAACCGGGACTAGAACCCGGCACCCATATGGGATGCCAGTGCCACAGACAGAGGATTAACCAAGTGAGTCACAGTGCCGGCCCCATGGGCTGCTCCATTTTCAATCCAGCTCCCTGCTAATGCGCCTGAGAAAGTAGTGAAAGATGGCCCAAGTGCTTGGGCCCCTGCATCCACATTGGAGACCCTGAGGAAGCTGCTGGCTCCTGGCTTCGGTCTCTACCTCACTAGCTGTAACTCTTTCAAATAAATAAAATAAATCTAAAAAAAAAAAAAAAGAGGAAGAGGAAAGAGAGAGGAAGAGAATACACACTCCCATCTATTGGCTCACCCTCCCAATGCCAGCCAGGGTCCCAAGCCAGGGAAGCCGGTGAACTCAATCTAGGCTTCTCACATGGGAGGCAGAACCCACTGCCTGCCCCATTCCACATCAGCAGAGAGCTGGAGGCAGGAGCCGAATCAGACATCAAATCCAGACACTCCAATATGGGATTCAGGTGTCTCAAATATTAAACCAAAAGCTCACCTTATGAGTTACAATTTAAAAGCACTAAAACCTTCTGACTAAGGATTCAAGGAATCCACTGAGTTTTAGCCATGAAGGATGCTCACTAAAGACCACATTTTCCCAACTGCAGCACATCATTTGCATAGTCAGTCTTAAGGAAGAAACTGAATAAATATCAAAGACTGAGGTAGCAACAATGAACAACTGTAAGAATTAGTGACTATCTTCAATGTTTTTATTTTTTAAATAAAGCACAATAAGAGATTGTATGTAACTACTACTTGCATAATTAAGTTTTCACACGGTTATAGAAAAAATTGATAGAAAATGTACAGAGAAAAACAATGGACACAAATGACAAGGTTAACAGCTATTAATTCTGAAATATGGTATTATTCTTCATACTTTTCTGTATTTTAAAATTTCCTTACAACAAAAAAATGTTAAATTATTAATCATGTAAATAAGGTAATTCAGATTTGGGTTATTAAATTGGAAGGAAAACTGGTATGTTTTGACAGAGACTAAGTGGATTTTTTGAGAAGGAAAAACAAAAAGCATTAGTTAGTTATTCTAAAACAAAACTAGCTTGAATTATAGTGTAAGCAGGAGCAGCAGCGACATTTCAGGTCGGATATGAGTGAGGAAGGTTGGGCTTTCCAACTTCACAGTGTCAGGTGCCACCCTACCTGAGCTGACTGTCCTCCATCCCTTCAAGGAGTTTGTTGTAAGTCAAGCAAAAACCATGAAAATACAGGACTGCACTTCCGGTTCTGAGCAGTGCTCCTTACCGCACAGGCCCCAGGTTTTCCAAATGTTAGACACTGTTTTAAATTCCAGTTTCTAAAACCCAAACTGAGTTCCGATGACAATTAAGAGTTTGCCACCTAACAAGATGTTTTTGTCCCTAACACCAGAAATATAAATATATATCCACATATGAGTAAAAAGTTATAGAATAAACTGAATCTTTATGTTGATATCATATTGTTACCCCATTTCCCCCAAAGGTAGCCTTAGGTTGTCTTAACTTTGGGATAGCACCCCCCACAGACCCCGTACTCCCTATTCAGTTCCCACCTTCTCTCCCTGCTGAGACATGCCAAGTTGTCAGCAAAAGTGAGTCACTCATTGGCATCCTGTCACGCGAACCCTGGACTACAGGGGGCTGAGCGGTAACGAGCCTCTGAGGCTGGGCTACGACGCTCGCACGAATGCACCTCCCTTTGCCTTTAGAGAACTGAATCACACCCGGAGCCAAAAGCATACTAACAAACTCTGCTTATAGTTTTCCTTACAAACTGTTCCCCGCCGTCCCACCTCCTCCCAATTTTAGTTTGGCAATTCCCTAACCTAAAACGCTTCCTGTCTTCAGAGAAGACAAGATGGGGAAGCAAGCACAAGAGGAGAGAGCAGTAAAGGCAGCTGTCTGTCTTCTGAAACACCAGCGACTCAGACCTGTTCCACACCGCTCTCAGAGCGCGTTTCTCCCTTCCGAAAGGCAAACACAACAAACACCATCAGAAATCTCCAGGAACTGCTCTTGTGGCTGCTATTTCACTAAATAAAAGTTTAAAATGCAACATAAAAATCTGTTATTGAGAATTATTTAGTCCACGTTTTTTCAACAGGATGTCATCAGCATCAACTCTCAAGTGCAAATCACTTTTTCCTTTTGCTTCACTCATTTACCTACTCCCAAACAGAGACTCTCTCTCCCTGTCGGGAAGGAAGCGGAAAACAAATGCTCTGTCAGATGACCAGACATTTACCTGCAGCTCCATCAGCTGTCACACTCCACCTGGTGGCAGGAGCTGCCTGAACCAGTGAAGGGGAGGACACCATGCAAACATTTGGAAGAATCCTTTCCAGGTGCCCTTGGGCAAAAATAAGATGCTCTTCTCTTGCCCTACACAGCATATGTCTAACAATGTCCCACCAAAGTTTTTCCGCTAATAGCAGGTCAATATCTAATAAAGATTAACATTAAGGGTATGTCAATTCTTGGAACGGGAGACCTACATGTGGAGCAATCTGCTTGTAGCTATTCTCTCCACAATAAGTTAAATGTCAGCCCAAGCCTTTAGACAGGTAACAAGGCACGTACGGCAGCTACAAGATTCTCCATCACACATTCCCACTAACGTTTCTTACCTCTTTCCCCTATGGGTAAACCATGGAGTTTAATTAACACAGTTAACGGCAGCCTGCCACATTGCTTTTAGATATTTGCCAGTAACATAAACCCATGGGATACTCTAGAGACGGATTTCAACCAAAAATAAAAATAGATAAACAGAGCTCAAACAAAATTAAAACGAGTCTGGCTGCCCACACTTATTTTCACACATGAGGAAAAATAGCAGTTCTCTTAGAAGCCTCAAGCAGACGTATCTTTAGAACACAATGTTAAAAATATGCCCCCCACCCTTCCCCTACCTGTTTCTCACTCAAAGCTGTGATTTTGGCTTGGAGTTCATGAAGCTGTTTCTTTAAGTCAGCATTCTGATTGGAAAGAAAAAATATCTGTGAGAGAGATATTTCATTTGTTAACAGAATAGTAGCAATGAGACGATGCCTACTGTATCACCAATGATGAAATAACCTTAAGCATTTAGCCAATCCAATGTGTCATGCCTTAAATTAAACTGCAGTCATAGTATCAGCACCTAACGCACAGATCCTAATCGCAGGCTCCTAGCACCAGAACAGGGACCGCTTCTTTGCAACTGTTTTAAGTTACAAGTTTTTATATTTTGGCACCTGTATTGTAAGAGTACTTTTCTACAAAAGTACTGTTATTTTTTATAGAAAGTTTCAGTTCATAGAAAATCTCAATCTCCACTGATCAGACAGAAGCAGGAAAACAGAGGTTGAAGCAGGCATGGCTGCAAGCACAGCGGCATTACAGAGCTTTTTCTCTGCTTGTCCACTCCCTTATTTAGCAAGGTAAAGTACATTTGTTATTTCAGCCTACATCTGAAAAGCTGTCAGTATGGCAATTGCCTCAACATTACATCATTCAAATTCACACACTGACGACCAGGGCATTTGCTCAGTTCTAAAATTCTAGGAATCAAAACAAGGATACTATTTTAGATGAGATACACTGAGCATGCTTGCCATTTACTTGAGTGGGAAAAAAATTAAAGTTTCAGATGCTGCAGGACAGCCCGCCAGCAGACTGACCACCACTCCAACGACAGGCTGATTTTTACTTGACTGATTCAGGGACAACTACTTCCATCTACCCTGTGTGGTCTTCAGGGGGTACTGAGGGCAGTCGGGGAGGGATGACACATCCCCCCGCCCTGCATTTGATGTTTATCTATTTGGACTTTTTTCTAAGAGTGTTTGATACAAGACTTCTCTAATGGAATCACCCATGAAGCCCCCTCAGATGCTCTGGGTTAAGACTGTTTTGTTACATGATCACGAACAATATCAGAATCACTAGTTTATGACATCACAGCTGCTAATAATGTAGATTACAACATTAAATATGAAAGGATCTATTAATCTAATGTATTACCTCTTGGTTCCGTAAATCCAATTTAAAGTTATAAATATACCAAGAAAAAAATAAAAATGAGGAAATTTCTAATTAACTAGGGGCTATCAATGCCAACTCTCAGAATCAACAGATTGTTAAAACTGAATAGTTAACTGAATCCAAGAGTTACCTGAATCTTAAAATTGTGAAGTGGAATATTACTTTCCACTTCCAAAGTCAATGCCTCAGCACCATTCTTCTATCCAAGAATGTGCTGCACTTTACACTGAGGCACACACGGTCTGTGTCAGTTTAACAACCCATATACATACAGATGTACCTGATACACTGCATACTTAGGACTCACTATCTAACGGCTGCAAAAAAGACACCGTGCTTGAATAATAAACATAATCATCAAAGATGAGATAACTTTTCAGGAAGCTTTATCGTCAGGAATAAAGAACAAAATGCTTAACTTAAAAATTCCTGAGAATTTAAAGAGAAGTTAACGTTTTCTAGACTACTACATATGTTACCTTTCAAATCCTCTTTAAGAGTTCTTTCAAAAATAAAATCTTCTAAAATGCTTATTTCAACTTATCTAAAATTCTTATCCCAAACATAGTGACATTTGGTATTCACTTGTTCTGTACCATAAAGAACAAGTAAATAAGAATAGTTTGGGCCCACTTATAATAATTCCGAGCCACCTATGATTTTGAGCAAGTGGGTTTCTGGAAATGGAATTTGAGCTACAAGAAAAGTATTAACTCTCAATTTTCCCCCCAAATTCTCAAAGCAATTAACATAAAAGCAGAACAGAAGTAACAAAGATGAAATGATAGCTATACTGCAAAAAAAAGGGACTGGGCTTCCCTAAACCATGAAAGGACAAAGACCAACACACTCAAAGGACTTGCTGCTAGCGATGAAACAGACCTCTAAACTCTGCATTTCATTAGTTCATGGTCATTTTATTTTAAGCTACTTTTAATTTAAAAATTAAATGAATAACAATGGTACTTTACCTGTGGATCCTGCTTCATCTGAGCAACCAGTTTCTGGTAATAAAGAAAGAAAAAGAGCCATCAGTCTTACACATTAACTCTCTGTGGCTAATCAGGCTTAGCTCAAAAATCTAGAGTTCTGAGTCAATTTAGAAAAATGAGCAACACCACATTCAGAATAGGCCCAAGACTTCTGTGATTCACGAAAAAGACTAACAAAGCACTCCTCTTTGCAGAAACACAATCACCCTAACACCAGATATCGGAATTGAAAAAGTGTATGGTTTTGAAAACTGGAGCCAGGACGGGGAGAGAGGCTTCTGAAGGCAATTTCAGTACGCTGGGTCTCCAGACGCCACGCGGCCCTCCACAACGTCCTCACCCTCTGGGCCCAGGTGAGGCGCGGAAAAAAGCTGCTCCCACAGAAAACCGCCTTCTTGGTACAGAGCAGAGTACACATGTGACAGGCCTGTTTGTCTGCTTCTAACAACAGAGTCAGATGTGACTCTGCCAATGTCTTCCCCACGTTCAGCAGCGAGCGGGGATGTTCGGTGTTCAAGAGCAAGTGGAGGAACAACGCAAGACTCCACCTATCTGGCTCCTCTGGGAAAGGCAGCGCTTCTTCAGTACTGAATGGGGAAGGGCTCTACTAGGGAAAATAGAGGCCCAAACAAATGTTTTTAAAAGGACGATGAATGGCATTCAACCTAACTGATCTTCCAAAAACATCATGCCCAAAGGAAATCATGACCATGGACAGAAGCATTCGAAAGGAAACACTATCAGAAGGCTGATTCCTGAAAGTGATGGGAGGCAAGCTGCTCCTCAAGTAAATTTTTCATATAAGGAGAAAGTCTGTGACTCTCTCTAGGTGACAGGGTCTTCTAAACTGCTCCGTCATAAAACAAAATCTTCCCAAAATATATACCTTCTTAAACAAACAAACAAACAAAACTCAAGATTTTATTGCCACTTGGAAGCATGAGTTCATCAATTAATATAGCGTACTGCAAACAACACAATAAGGTTCTTACAATAAAAGGCTACGTTTTAAACAGTTTTTCTGTCTGCATTCCAGCTCTTCAATCTACTCCGTAATACCACGTAGTCAGCCAGCAAATCTTGCTACTGTTATGCTGCCTTCTTCTAACATCTCTGACCCCCACTTCAAATTTCCTGCTTTTGATCTGCTGTATGATATGCTCACGAGACTAATTTTAAGATGAGCGACTAGGTTGAGAAATATATAATCTTGAGTAAAATGTATGTATAATAAATGACATTTAATATTTATTCTAATTGGTCAAAAGTCTTTTTCCTTTTCCTTTTTAAATAAAAAGATTTATTTATTTGAAAGGTAGAGTTACAAAGAGAGAGGGAGACAGAGAGAGATCTTCCATCTGCTGGTTCATTCCCTAGAAACCTCAATGGCCAGAGTTGGGCCAGGCCAAAACCAGAAGCCAGAAGCTTCATCCAGGTCTCCCACAGGGGTAGAGGAGCCCAAGAACTTGGGCCATGTTCCATTGCTTTCCTCAGGCCATTAGCAGGGAGCTGGATCTGAAGTAGAGCAGCAAGGATATGAACCAGTGCCCATATGGGATGCCAGTACTGCAGGCAGTGATTTTACCCACTATGCCACAATGCCAGCCCCCAAAAGTCTTTGTTCCTGGTACTAAGACCCAACCTATCCACCTGAAGTTGCCAACCAACGACTTCCAAATATACTGGGTATAATATCACTATAGTTCACTTCATATTTGATTCTAGCAGCTGTATTATACCCTCATATTAACCTACAAAATGATAATAATATATATTCTAACAGTTCAATGGAATTGAAACATAAGGTTTCATACATGAACATTTTGACTAATGCTAGCCACATTCTTCAATGCAATGAAAAAAGCTCAATTCTTCTTTTTTACTTGGCTAAGAGACTTGTCTGCTAATATATATTAAAGTCATTTTTTGAAGCTGAAAAGTCTTCTTCCACAACATTGGAATTTAAAATATGACTGGTAACCACCTCACCCTGAGTCTCCACCTTTGGAGGAGATAAATAAGCCAACTTTTCTATCTGCCAGCAGTTAAACTCTATCTTAGTCAATCGGGACTGGACAAGCTGGGCAACTTCCTAGACTACCCAAACCCCTGGTGATTTCATGGTGACATTGAGTTATCAAAGTGAGGTTCCTGTCTACTGCAAGAATGCAGCAACTTTCCATGAAGATATACTTTACGCCAAGGGTAAGCAAACAGCAGCCCAATAAGCCAGATCCGGCTCACCACTTGTTTTTGTAAATAAATCTGTATGGAACACAGTCACAGTCATGCATTTATATATTGTCTATTCTGTCTGTATATCAGCAAAACCGAGTGGTTGTGAGAGACGACATCTCACCTGCAAAGTCTAAAATATTTTAGTATTCGGCCCTTTACAGAAAAAGCTGGCTAACCTCTGCTTCATATCTTTCTGTATCCACACGGAGTGAATCCTCCAAAGGTTCAAATACAACTTCACCACATTCACAGAAGAGCAAAGAAAGGCAGAAAAAAAGCTCATTCTCCCCAAAAAGGTGAGATGTTCACCACAGGCTAATATTAATGAATATCAACTATGTATATATTGTTACTTTATTAACCACCTCCCCATTCATAAAGAAAACATAAACGAAAACAAACTTCCACCACAGCCTTACCAGGTAGTTTCATAACATATAGTTGATCCAGCAAGCTCAATTTCAACCCTAATTTCATTTCCTACTGTAAAGGCACTAAAGGTTGCCTTTTGCCCTAATTCTAGTTAAATGTATGTTCTGGCTTTGGCCTCAGCCTAATAACCAAAGCACCTATGTAGATATCACTTCTGGCATCCTTGAACTTGTCATGATGAATGATGGTGTAGGTTACCTCATATCCAATAGCAATTTTATGAACAATGCATGTCATTTGGATTTAGTATTTTCTTTTCAAAAGTAAGAAATTATTTCAGATGTAAATGGAGATATAGTTATGCTATGTATGTTAAAATGTTAATTGACAAATAAAGGTTTATTATTATAAAAACAAAATGTGTAGTGATTAAGGATGAATATGAAAGTTATTAATTTTATGACTGAAAAATAGCTACTATACAGGAAAATAGATTGGCAGTTAATCTGAATATTAAGATAATGTTAAAAAAGAATTTTAGAAAGAATATTCCTTCCCTTCTCAGTCAACAAATATAATTTAAAAATTTTAATTAGCTGCTAAAACAGAATAAATTTTTTCATAATTATAATGTTTATAAAACTAACATACTTGAATTCAAAATATGAAACAAAATAATACTTAAGAACTTCATTTAATTTAGTAATTAAGTTCAATTTAGGTCATGAGTTTTTCAAGAAAGGCTTTTTGGGACTTGCTCATTTCTTGTGAGGAGGAAATAAAAGTAGAATGCTAACTTTCTTTTACTTTGAAAGAGAGAGGGGCCGGCGCTGTGGTGTAGCAGGTGGAGCCGCTGGCCTGCAGTGCCAGCATCCCATATGGGTGCCAGTTCGTGTTCTAGCTGCTCCACTTCCAATCCAGCTCTCTGCTATGGCCTGGGAAAGCAGTAGAAGATGGCCCAAGTCCTTGGGCCCCTGCACCCAAGCAGGAGACCTAGAAGAAGCTCCTGGCTCCTGGCTCCTGGCTTCAGATCAGTGCAGCTCTGGCTATTGCAGCTGATTGGGAAGTGAACCAGTGGATTGAAGATTTCTCTGCCTCTCCTTCTCTCTCTGTGTAACTCTTTCAAATAAATAAATATAAAAGAGAGAGAGAGAAAGAGACAAAGACAGAGAAAGATCATCCATCTGCTGCTTCATTTGCCAAATGACTACATGGCCAGGGATGGGTCAGGTCAAAAGCAGGAGCCCAGGGCGGCGCCGTGACATACTAGGTTAATCCTCCACCTGCGCACCGGCATCCCATATGGGCGCTGGGTTCTAGGCCTGGTTGCTCCTCTTCCAGTCCAGCTCTCTGCTGTGGCCTGGGAGTACAGTGGAGGATAGCCCAAGTGCTTGGGCCCTGCACCCACATGGGAGACCAGGAAGAAGCACCTGGTTCCTGGCTTCAGATCAGCGCAGATCCGACCATTGCGGCCATTTGGAGAGTGAACCAACAGAAGGAAGACCTTTTTCTCTGTCTCTGTCTCTCTCTCTCACTGTCTGTAACTCTGTCAAATAAATAAATAAATAAACCTTAAAAAAAAAAAAAACAAGCCCAGAACTCAATTTACGTCCTTTTACATGAATGACAAGGAACAAGTACTTCAGTCATCTCCTGCTGCCTCCCAGGGTGTGCATGAACAGGAAGCTGGATTCAGAAGTGGAGCTGAGACTAGAACCCAGGTGCTCCAATATGTTATGTGGGTATCCCCAGTGCTGTCTTAACCACTACACCAAATGACTACCATCTCAGTATTTTTTGATAAGAAATATTCTTTCAATATTTAACATTACCATGCCAATACTTCTTGAGAAGAGGAAAAACTCCTTAAGTCACAAATAATATCATAAAATTTTTTTGACTGAAATTTCAGAGTGATTACTGCACTCCCAAAATCCATTCTATGATAATATCAACTTTGAAAAACTCATGAGTTTAACTTCTATTACTTGCCATTCAACCAAACCAGTGTTCGACACACCTCTACACTAAAATATTTTCATCCAGGAAAAAGACAAGATTGCTCTTTTTGAAAATTATATTTAAACTTCTCATCTCAGTATATTAGATTTTTTTTAAACTTTATTTATTTTATTTATTTGAGGGGCAGGCAGATCACAGAGAAAGTAAGCCAGAGAGAATTCTCATTCACTGGTTCACTCCCAGATCCTGCAATGGCCAGGTCTGGGCCAGGTTGAAGCTGGGAGCCAGGAACTCAATCAAGGCCTCCGACATGGGTAATAGAGACCCAAGTACTTGATCCATCACCTGTTCCCCTCACTGTCCACATTAGTAAGAAGCTGGAATTAGAACTGGAACCAAGACACAAACCTGGGGACTCTAGATATGGGATGCGATGTCTT